TAACAGTTGATAGAGAATCATTTTTTAATAAGAAAAGTTCCTATAAACATAGGTCTTAAAACGCTTCGTTTGTGAGATATAGGGTGTAGAAAACAAACATTTTTAAGAATTTTTCTTAATATCTCTAAAAGACCAACAGATATTAAACTGAAATTTGGCATGAAAAAACAAACACAGAACTTAAAAAAAGAACTAATTGACACACACGTTACACAATGTTTGCGTTCTTATGTCAACGTTATGACATTTAATCGTTTTTGTTGATTTTCAGGGTACATCATATTTTTCTTATTATAAATGTATTACCAATATCGTTGGAACAGTTTCATGCCAAATTAATTTAACCAAAAACCGTTCATTTTATAAAAAATTGAGAGAGCTGTTTTGTTCAGAATTGATTAAAAAATTTAGAAACTATGTTATTTTCCAGAAAAATCCACGGCCGTACGAATTGTTTTTTTAAAGGGATCATTAACCCATCTCAGGCACGTCACTGGTGTGTGAAATGGATAACAGATATCTTTGTTTTATTCACCATAACTAATGTGTTATTAATAGCAAATTTAAGTTCAATATATGTTGGTCTTTTAGAGATCTTTTAGAAATTCTTTAAAAAAGTTTGTTTTCAATAACCTATACTCACAACCGAAGCGTTCTAGGACCTACGTTTATAGGAACTTTTCTTATTAAAAAATTATTCTCTATCAACTGTTAGAATCCTACTACAAAAAACTGACACCCTGAATGTAAAAGCCGTTTAACAATATGACCTATAAGGTTTTGTTAATAGATTATTTCAGCCTATAAATAATAATTTACACTTACTAAATTATAGTTATACAATTTTTTTCAGTCAAGTCTGTAGTGAGTCTTCCTACTAGTCAATAAATAAATCAAATGAATGACAAACATACATACTTGTAAAATTATCATAGAACTTACATGTTTAAATTTTAGATTATAACATATATGTAAAAGCCGTTTAACGATATGACCTATAAGGTTTTGTAAATAGATTATTTCAGCCTCGATTTCAGCAGACTATGTTTCCAACAATGTTGGTGTTTTATTTAAAAAAATCAGTATTAGAATCGAAGACTTTTCAAGGGGCCCTCTGTGTAAAAGATTTTTTGTTTTTAAATTATTTGAGATTGTCAGAAACTGATCTACCTTATCTCTGACACATAATATGAGGCTATCTAGTATTATTACTCCTCCTATTTACTCATTCTCATTACGCTGCATGTCCTTTGACCTACATATCCGCCACCCCAACAACATTTTTTTCCTCTCGTTCCTGGGAAGCTCGCTAAATGGCGGTAATAACTTTTTAACGTTATTATTTTCACCATGGGCGTAAGCCTCGTCGAGGAATTTCAAACACGGCCGTATCGTAATGATTCCACAGCTGTGGCGTACGTAGACTTCATTTATTTTATTTACCCGAGTTTCACACATGCCTTTACTTGCCGATGTACAGCAGAAGGTATACTGGAAAGTTTCCGAAGGCAGGTATGTGAACGTTCAACGAGAAATCTCGACGTCAATCAGTTTGTGTCGCGAGGAGTCGCACAGGCTAGATACAGGGGAGTCTTCGAGACATATGCAGGAAGCATTCCCTTCAGTACATAACGCGGATATTTTTATGTCTGCTTGTGACGGCAGCTTGCGTGCAAAACGCCTTTTGCAAGAGTTCACAGAAGGTAAGCACGTTCTCGCTTGATCTTGTCTCGCATACGTGGGAGCAAAGGGTACCTAATGCATTTTCTACTGTTTCCTAAGGTGTTTTCTGTGGTTTTATAGCCGAGTATTGGTATTTGTACTTTAATAGCATACCTCGTACGTACCGCTTAATGGTTTGTCCAAGCTTTCAGCGTTAACCAATTACACGCTAGATTCAGATACGTAAATAACTAAAATGATTGGTCAAACACTATACATTTTTTAGAGGTAAACAATCTAATATTGAAAATAAGTCTATTATAACGGCATTGTTAAATATTATTCATATTATATATAAAAAATTAGATGCGAATGATAAAATTCTAGCTTTATTTGTGGACTCGTCAAAAGCGTGCGATTGTGTCAATGATTCATTGCTTCTAAATAAAATCGAACGATATGTCATGAGAGGACTGTGTCACGACTTATTTAGGGACTTTTTAACAAACAGGGAACAATTTGTTCAATTTCTTGGTGTAAACTCAAAGCAGCTACCTGTAACAATTGATGTTCCACAAGGGAGTGTACTAGGACTTCTATTATTTTTGTTATACTGCAATGACTTGGAAAGTTATGTACATCAACCTCTTATACTGCATTTGCGAATGATATAACAATGTTAGCTTGCTATGACAACAAACAGGTATGACAACATGGACAAATGTAAATCTTAGAAATATACAAGCTTATTTTCAAATGAATCTCTTGTGAGGAATCGAGAAAAAACTTATATATATTGACTGAATAAAATTGAACGATATGGCATTAAAGGACTGTGTCACGACTTATTGAGGGACTTTTTAACAACCAGGGAACAATTTGTTCAATTTCTTGGTGTAAACTCAAAACAGCTACCTGTAACAATTGGTGTTCCACAAGGGAGTGTACTAGACCTCTACTATTTTTGTTATACTGCAATGACTCGGAAAGTTATATATCAACCTCTTATACTGCATTTGCGGATGACATAATAACAGTGTTAGCTTGCCATAAATAAGAAACAGATATGACAACATTGACAAATGTAAATCTTAGAAATATACAAGCATATTTTCAAATGAATCGTCTTATGACGAATCAAGAAAAAACTTATATATTACAATTCCACCCAATACCTTCTAATTATACTAGTAGTCCTTTGGTATCATTGAATAGGAAATCTATAGAACAGGTGATTTGTTTTAAGCTTTTAGGTTTACATATATACATTGTCGTGGAAAAATCATGTTGATTAAGTATGTCAAAAATGTGCCGGTTTATACTTTGCTCTAAGCTGATCAAGATGGTACTAGAGTATTTTATCATTCAAATTTCGAATCAATAATTCGGTATTCAATAATGTTTTGGGACAACTCAACAGCTTCCAACAGAATATTTATACTACAAAAACGTGCCTTAAGAAATACGTTCGGATTAAGGTATTTTGAACCGTGCAGATCTACTTTTGTAATAAAAAAAAGTATTAACGTTGCCTTGCTAACTTTAAAATTTGTCAAACAAAACATTTCCAAATTCAATCTTCAAAATTTCATGATTATCCTACAAGATATGGAACAAATTTAAAATATGGCTTGCATAGACCTTTATAAGTCAAATCTACCAGCATCTATAAAAAGCCAAAATTTTACTAGATTTATAATTTTAATTAAGAATACATTGCATCAAAATACTTTTCTGTGAGCACTTACTTGGCATATAATTTTAAATAGTTTATTGGTTCTTTTCTTTTATTGTTAATAATTATTGTTGGTTTTTTATAATATTTTAATACATAACATATGTTTCTATTAGTTTTTACTAGTTTATATCTTTTGACGTGTTCTATATCCGATATTGTGATCTACTGGACTAATAAATATCTATCTATCTATTGGCGAATTCTTTGAACGAAAAAAGCTGCTGGAAGCACCACCGATCTGGCTTCAAACTTGATGGTGGAACTTGTGATTCTTAGTGATCATACGTTTGAAGAGTAGATGAAGGGTAATTTATTTACTAGAATATTTGAATTATGAGCGACGACCTGACAATGTACATTGACCTGGAGGAAAAAGATATACTGTTGACTATATCTATCCATCAAGTAATAGCAATTTTTAGTATTTATTCATACATTTCTTGACCAGACAGTCTCTTCAGTCTCTCAGAAATTCTCATGGTTTCATGCCTTTTTTCGTAAGAAATTCCGTAAAAATACATCTCACTGTATACTAAAGACTGAAGAGCTGATTTTATTCAACACACTGTATACAGTTTGACGCATGTTCCTACGTTTTGAATTTATTTCCAAAGTTCCCTAGATAATCAAACTAAAATAATTTCTTCATATTTCAGGAATTTAAGGTTTCGTAGCAAAGTTACTGATAATCATAATTTCGTGACATTTGGAGTTTCTGAATTTTAAATAATGTTGAATAATG